AAGGGTCTCCGGTTCTCTACACTCACCATACGAAACACAGCAGCGTTAAGCTATTTCATTCATTTGGTCCTACCCCGGTCGAGCCGACCCATTCGTGCTACAACTATACTACTAATATAGCTGCAGCATGGGCTCTACCACGTATATAATTTCAATCACATAAAACGAAAGCTTTTGTTCATTATCCTATGTTGTGCAAAATCTTATCATATCAAATTTTATAATATTTTTTATAGAATAATAGTGACAAACGAGAGCATATTCCACCTGATAGTAAGTGGCTGCTATGGTCCATAGACATACATCTGTATTCTGTAATCGATTTGGAATCAAAATGCACATGGGTGGTCACCGATGATGAACAAGATGCTTATAACAAGTAATAGAGTTAATAGGGTTGGTTAACTTTAATAGTAATTAAAAAAAATAAACAATATTTTCTAAACAAATGTGTAAAGTTCATACTTTGTTTTATTTATGATTTTTAAAATAAATATATAATTAAATTAATATTTCTTGAGTTTTTTTTATATGCTGATTTCTATTGGAACTAACCGTTTATTGGCGGTGTTAAAATATCCAGTATACCAACTCATCCTGTGGGTGTCGTAAGAAGCGATAGAAGGAAACTGAACCAGGAGATGGGTAGTAGCATATTCCTGTCAGTTTGTTTAAGCTTTAAATTAGTCAATAAGTATTTTTTGTATAATTTACCTTCGTATAGTTTGTAATAAAGTTGCGAAAACATACTTTAATAATAATATTTCCACATACAAACTTAACCACCCCTCATCACTTCTTAGGGGATACAATTTTAATAAATTCTTTCGCAGTACACATCAAGCGTACTCAAGGAATATTTACTTTAAATTTCAAACCTCTAAGTCCACAGATTTAGGTTGTGCGTTGACTATCAGTTAGTAAGTTAGTCACTTACTTACGGTATTCCTTTATTGGCTACTATACATTTAAACTGCTTTATATATAATAAGAAGATTATATTTATGTAAAACTTATGAAATATTTCTGCTGGACACCGGCTGCTTCACATTACTAAGAGTGTTTTTATGGAAGAGTTCCTAATGCGTGTTAGCGAACTTCATTCAAATACTTCGTTTCTCCAACATACAGGTATTATCACGATGTTTTCTTTAACCGTCGTGCACATGGAAATTCAGTAGTTAAACTGCTATTAAGAAGTCAGCGGGGTTCGAACTCTGGTTGTTTGCGTATACTAAAATTTAAGCGCGCTTAAATTTTAGTATACTCAAACAACCAGACGCTTGGGTGTTTGGCCCAGCACCTGATGTACCACGGCTGTGGTACATAAGGTACTTGGCGCAGGCAAAGATATAGACAGCATTATTTATAAATCAGAAATATTTCAATGCTTAAAATAGAAGTGAAGCTTTTCTTCCTTTTACCAGCCCATAAAAGTCCACAGCTAAACGCAGACCTCTCTTGAAGGATTTACCCTAATCGCCATCCTAGTAGCCGGATTGACGACGACAGTAGGTGGTAGGTCACTCAATAAGTTTTGAGATATACAAAAAGTGTTCTAGATACTATTAATATTTATTTTACATCTTTTTAAAATATTCTCTATCATGCTTTATACAAAGTTCCATTCGCCTAAACCAACTCTGAAAACACTTTTGCCAGTCTTGATCTGAAAGGTCTGAAATCGCTTCTTCGTAGGCAGCCACAGCTTCTTCGGCGCTTGAAAAAAACTTGCCTTTTATTTTTTCTTTGACTCTTGCGAACCAAAAGAAATCACAAGGAGCTAAGTCAGGGCTGTAGGGTGGGTGACTTAGAGTTTCAACACCAGATTCCCCAACAAATGCTTTTGTCCTAAGAGAGGAATGTGAAGAGGCGTTATCGTGATGCAACATGATTCCCCGAAGCCCGGAATTCGGTCTTTTCTCCTGCACAGCTTGAAAAGCGTGGGGTAATGCAACTGTAGTATACCATTCAGAGTTGACTGACCTACAATTTTCCAGCATTGACGTCGACAAATGTCCGCTCCGCGAAAAAAAACTAGGCACCATTTTGCCGAAGTTGTGAGGTCTTTACAGTTTTGTCGTTTACTGTCCTTCTGAGTAGACCCATATCGATGATTGCCTTGCGTATTTTCCGGATCATATTGATAGATCCATGTCTCGTCACCAGTAACGATTTCTGAAACACGCCTAGATGCCCCATTTTCAAAATGTAGACGCTCCGTATATGTGATTCGTAGATTTTCTCCTACCAAAATTTCAGTAGTCCATACATTTTTTGCCCTTACTGCTGTTTGCGGGGCCCCAGTTCTTTATTCATCTTTAAGATTAATTTTGCCCCTTTTGAATTCAGCAAACCACCTAAAAATTGTTGCGCGTGATGAATCTGAGTCTCCTAATGCTGATTGTAACCGTTGTAAACTTAATTGTTCGGTTAAACCAAATTTCATCATCATCATCATCATTACAGCCATTCACAAGTTCACTGCTGAACATAGGCCTCCCCAAACAAATGCCACAAATCGCGGTCCTGAGCCACCTGATCCATCGACTTCCTGCATATCTTACCAGGTCGTCACTCCATCTAGTGGGGGGACGCCCTACACTTCACCTGCCGGTACGAGGATGCCACTCGAGAACCTTTCTTCCCCATCGGTTGTCGGTTCTTCGAGCTATATGGCCAGCCCATTGCCACTTCAGCATACGAATTCTTTGGGCTATGTCGGTTACTCTGGTTCTACTGCGGATATCCTCGTTTTTAAGTCTATCACGCAGAAAAACGCCCAGCATTGCCCTTTTTATAGCTCGCTGGGCGACTTTGAGATTCCTCATACGGCCAGCAGTGAAGGCCCACGTCTCAGATATGTCGAAATCTTCCGAACGCTGCCCAGCCGAGTTGAATCCGTCAATTGGTCTATCGGTCAAAGTTGGACTTACCTAGTCAGAATATTTGTCCCAGATAAACATATTCGTCAACAACTTCGAGCTTAGTGCTCCCAACAACTACCGGCATAGGTGGACGTTAAACATTATTTTTGTTTTGTCCATGTTCATCTTAAGACCTATCCGTTGGGAGACACTCAATAGTGTTTCTCTCTTCCTCATACGGCCAGCAGTGAAGGACCACGTCTCAGTACCATAGGTCATCACTGGCAACACGCATTTATCTTTATCTTATCTTATCTATCTTGAAGTTGGACTTACCTAGTCGGACTATTTGTCCCAGGTAAACATACTCGTCAACAACTTCGAGCTTAGTGCTCCCAACAACTACCGGCATAGGTGTGACATGGACGTTAAACATGATTTTTGTTTTGTCCATGTTCATCTTAAGACCTATCCGTTGGGAAACACTATTGAGGTCATTGAGCATAGTGCTTAGGTCCTCCAGCGTTTCTGCCATAAGGACTATATCGTCAAAATCGAAGGTGAGTGAAGTACTCGCCATTGATGTTGATACCGTATCTTTTCCAGTCCAGTAGCTTGAAAACGTCTTCTAATGCAATGTAGCAGTAAAGAGTTTCGGGGATATTACGTCACCCTGTCTTACACCTCTCTGCAATTGGATAGGTTTCGTACTCTGGTTCTGTACTCGGATAGCCATCGTAGCCCTACTGTACAAGCACTTCAGCACTTCGATATACCGACAGTCCACTTGGCACCGCTGGAGGAACTGCAGCACCACCCAAATTTCGACGAAGGCTTTCTCATAGTCCATATACGAAAGACAAAGTGGCAGAATGTACTCTTCGGTCTTCTGTACAATTTGCCGAAGGGCCTATGGTGCTAAAGCCTTTTCGGAAACCTGCTTGTTCGGGAGACTGGAAGCCGTCGAGTCTGCGTGCGAGACGATTCGTAATGACTCTCGAAAACAGCACCTAGACGCGGCTCTGAATGGAAATCTGTCTGTGGTTCTTCAAGAGAGCGTTATCGCCTTTCTTGAAGAACAAGACCACCGCACTTCTGCTCCACGCCTCCGGTGTAGTGCCACCACGGACGACGGAATTAAAGAGCTTCTGAAGGACTTTAAGTACCGGTTTTCCACCCGCTTTCAGAAACTCCGCTTTAATTCCATCCTCGCCTGGGGCCTTGCCGTTTTTAAGATGCTGGAGAGCCATTCTAATCTCGCTCAGACTGACGTCCGAGATATCATCGGAATAGTGCCGGATAAGACTTGCTCTTGGATCGTTACTCATATCGTTATAAGGCCGGCAACGCATCTGCGATTCCCCTGGTGTTACAGTTGTTCATGGGCGGCGGTAGTCACTTACCATCAGGTGAGCCGCATGCTCGTTTGCCCCCTCTCCTATAAAAAAAAAAACACTTGCGTGTGGCACCAAAGATGACATGTACAGCTGCTCATAGAACCTCTCAATCTCATTCAAAATCTCAGGTGTCTCATAAATGATGCTGCCACATTCAGTCTTCAGCTTCGACAGTTGGTACTTTCTGGCAAACATATCTCTGGCAAAGACTTTGGAGCCCTGGTTTAAAATCAAACCAATTTTAAAATCATAGCGCGCTAAAGTTCACGGTTAAGATCCATAGTTTTAAATGAAAAGTGCGGGAAGCGTTGCAGGAAAATTAATAGAATTGTTTTTTTTTTAATATTGAGCAATTGGCTTATGCAATTCTATTTTTAAATAAATTTGATTTTTAGAAACTTATAACACGGATGCGTTCCATTTTTAAATTTCGAGCATCTCAAAACTTATTGAGTGATCTACGTAGTAGAGAGAGAGTAGAGAGCTTCCAATTGCTGGTGTGGTAATTTTACGTCTGGTATAAACAAGCTGGTTATAACGTCATCCTTCGGATACCTTAACACCTTTCTGACATTTTCTATAGTTATTTCTTAGGACACCCGCAGGAAGAAATGATTCGCTTGCTCCACCACCATTTTATGGGAAATGTGCATGTTAAATGTACATTTAATAAATTTTTTAAATATTTATTTAACCTCATGGATTTCACCTTTTAATAAAGTTAAAAGTATGAGGTGCTAAAGAAAATTAATATATTTATTCCTTTTTGTTTCAACCTGGTTCTTATAATAAATTTTAACTATAAGATTAGGTTTTTTTTATTAAATAGCGTCACTAATAAATATTATTATTAAATAAATTGAATTAAAATACACATGAGGCAAGGAAAAAAGGTAGGGATTGGTTAGAGTAATTTCTTAAAATTTTACAGATTTTATTACGTCCAATGATATTTTCATTTACCTGAAAATATTCATTGTGTTTAATTGTGTGAAAATATTTATTGTGTGTAATTATGTACATACCGTAAAAAATTGTAAAACAGCGTATTTTGTATCTTAATTTAATAAAGTTACAATCACTATTAAAATTATTATAACTAAAATTAGTCACTATATGCGCAAGGCACTTAAAATAAAAGTGGAAATTACTATTAATTATTTTCTAAACTAAATTTTAATAATATATTTTAAAACATACTAGCGAATATTACATACATAAGCACACTTATTTTCTTTGGTACAAATACGATTATTGAATGAAATCTACAAATTAATTAATGTTAAATTACTTCATCATTATCATCATTTAGTCCATTGTTGAACATAGGCCCTCCTCCATCGACTCACTGTGTGTTTTATCAGGATGTCACTCTTTTTAGTTATGGTTCGCCCTACAGTGCACTTTACTACTACTTCTTACTTTCCACCTTACTAACTTTTAAACATTTGAACATAGGCCTCTCCCAAAAACGTGTCATAGGGGAGACATTTGTCATAATTGTTAGGCTTGCCAGGCGAGTTCGCAATTGTAGTTACGGATAATGACACCGCCACTACATAGTCTACATCGCCACTACACAGTCTACACCGCTACTACAGAGTCTACATCGCTACTACACAGTCTACACCGCTACTACACAGTCTACACCGCTACTACACAGTACCGCTACTACACAGTCTACACCGCCACTACACAGTCTACACCGCTACTACACAGTCTACACCGCCACTACACTTTTCTTAAATTACAATAATTCAATTAAACGCTATAAAATGTATTATATGATTCATGATAGTCCAAATATATTTTTTTTATTTTTAAAATCCGCAAAATTGGTTTTATTCAACGTGTAATTCGTGTAAAGAAAAAAAAATATAACTCAAGGTTAACTCTAGTGTATGAGAAATTTTCTTTTTAAAATAGCTTCTGCTTCTATACCTTGTGAAAGTTTGTAGAAATGATTAAACATAAGGCTTTCTTAATCTATCAAACGTCACGCTTAGTTTATGACTTTAATTGTGAAATGGAGACAGCAACTGACCACTATTCAAGTAAGTGATAACGATTGTAATAGTAATATTTCAAGTGAATCTGATATTGATTTAGATAAATTAATATGTGTTTTGTAATTTATTTATTCGTTTAGTATCAAAAAGAAATTGAAAAAATTTAAAAGTTCATATTAAATTGTTCTGAATAGCTTCTTTCTGCTACAGTAACATCACTGATTGTTTCCATTCCTATAATAAGTATTTCTACTTTGGTGATATTTCCGATATTTTTTCATATCTATAAAATAGTGTAAGTCTAAATTTAAATCGTCACATTTTATTAGCATCTGTAGTGATTTTAGCTTCTTTACGATGGTTTGCTTTTTCATTTGTATTCGTCTTGTGGATTAAGGCTGATTTTCGTGGCGTCGCGGCTTAAGTTGGACTCCATTGTGCTACTAGCGTTCTGACTTCGTGTATTAGAGGCAAAACCTTTCGACATACTGCTGTTTCTGAACCTGTTAAGACATAAGTACAAATAATTTTATCATTATCAAACAAATTCACATCATTTTATAATTCTTCTTCATCAGCCCATAAAAATCCACTGCTGAACATGACCCCTCCCATTTTAGAGGATTCACTTAATACGATTGAGGTGCGGATTGACATCATTATTACTTAATTATATTATAGTTGTCGGGGATGGACTAACTTCATACAGAATACCAGCGTCAAATAGCAGCTTAATACTGCTGTGTTTCGTGAACCGGAGTTTAGAGAATCGGAGACCCTTTTTACTGGAAACGAGGCATTCCACTTTAGTCCTCTGGGGTGACAGCACATCTACATTTAAATTCTTAATAGAGGATAGATGTATAGTGTCTATAGCTCAAAGAATCCACTTACTATTAAATGAACTTTTTTTTATATAGGATAAGGGTGACAAACGAGCACACAGTCCACCTGATGGTAAGTGGTTGCTGCGGCCTATAGACATCTACATCTATCCTCTATTACAAATCAAAATGTAGATGCGTTGTCACCCGTGAGGACTAAGATGGAATGCCTCATTTCCAGTAAAAAAGGCCTCCGGCCTCCTGCACTTACCAAGCGAAACGCAGAGGTAAACCTCTACTTCACGCTGGTTTTCTGTGAGGTCGTGGTACTACCCCGGTTCGAGGCGGCCTATCCGTGCGACAGCAAAAGCTGCCGCGTGACTCTACCACTGTTAAACTGTGAGTTACTTTGCCAGTTTAATTCTTTAAAAAAAAGTTACTCAAGCAGTATCATAAATGGTTTACAAATAACAACATTACAAAATTACTGAGCGGTTGTGTCCATCAATCATGAGCAGAATTTATCAAGAGTATTTAGAATGAGCAAGTATATATTCCAATAGAGAAATATCGACACATCTTAAGGTGAGGCGATATTGAAAGATCTCCTAAGCAAAAGAAAATTACATTAAAACGGACAATTACAGAAAAATGCAGACTTGATTAGACCGCCAGCCATATTTACTAGTAAAGGTAAACAGTAAAGTAATAGCCTAAATACGAGTACGTCTCACTGCTGGATACAGCCCCCTGCAAATCCTGAAGGACTTATGGAGTAGTTAGCCTATTGTGCTGCTCCAGTGCGTGTTGACGAACTTCACATGCTCTCCTGAATATTATTATCAGATATTTATTTATCAGAGATGCAGTTACCTCCACAGTATTTCTTTTACTGTTACATACTATTTACTTTATTTATGTAACAGTAAATAAAGTAAATAGTTTAATCCACTCAAACATTCCGTTGTTGTGTCTAACAAATTCTTGATAGGAATCGCATGTTCACTTGTTATAGTCTTAAGTGTCATCAGCCTTTGTAGATATGAATTTATTTTAACACTTTTGTTGCTATATCTGTCCTTCAATTTTATCCAGGCAGAGTCATAGTTGCCTTCAGTTACAGGTATGTGCTTAAGTAGAATTGCAGCTTCTCCATTTAAGTTTTGTTGAAGTAAGTGTAGTTTGTTTACTTTACTAAGACTTTTGTTGTTATGTATCAGTGAAACAAATTGATCGTAAAATGGAATCCATTCACTGTATCTTCCATCAAAGGTTGGTAGTTGTATTGGAGGAAGTTTGATTTGCTGTGACGAAATTTCAAAATTTTTGTTTTCAGCACTATCTCTTGAGTTAGTTGGACGTGGATATTCACAAAATTTTTCTAACATCGTGTCCTTTGTACACACATACTCATCTTCTGACTCTTCACTCTTTGTGTATTCCATTAACTTCATAAGATTATTCTGAAAATTTTCCCACAATTGATCCAGTAATGACATTTTCATATCTATGTAGTTCCATGATAAACGATCCTTAGATGTCTTCTTAAAGTTACTATGTGATTTTTCTATTTGTATTTTTAAACCAAGTTGTAATTTTTTAAATTGTTCATAGACACTGTTTTCGTCGGCTTTTGCCATTTTTGACAATCTTAAAAAATGTTTGTGAAAATTCTAAGTCCAATTATCTTTTTTTTTTATCACTGGTAACACTTATCAATAACGTTACTGATAATTTTAACTAATGTCACTTGAGTTTGACAGCTAACGTCACTTGTTTGACAACATCACATTTGACAGTTAGTCACTTTATTTTGACAACGTCACTTGAGCTTGACAACGTTACTTCGAATGTCCCTTAATTTTGACAACGTCACTTGAGCTTGACAACGTCACTTCGAATGGCACTTGATTTTCACAATGTCACTAATAATATTTCACTCACTGACTTGACACTGGCAGAATTCTATCAAGAGTAGCCATAATTTAAAAGAAGAAGAAGAATATTTCACTCACGCACTATTTGTTACTCACTCACTACTTGTACATGTATTTGTTACTCGGACGATTCCTATAGCTACCTGTCTAATTCACGATCCGGCTCGAAGGACCATGAAACGCCTATGTGAGGTCCTCACAAAAATAAAACGAACAAATTCGAGTATGAGGTGTTTATTCAACGCCGCAGAACTTATACAGGAAAAAGGCTAACAGCCTTACAGTGCATGGGAAAAATAACTACAGCGCGATTTAACTTGACTGTGGCGCCATTTAGTACAATTTTATAGAACTGTTACAACAAACAAAATAACAAATCAAGTTACTCAAACAAAATACAATTCTTCTGTCCGAGTGTATGTGACGGAACTCCTCCTAAACGGCTGAACCGATTTTGATGAAACTTTGTGTGTGTGTGTGTGACTAAGTTGTTTCGAAAATAGTTTAGATTCACATTTGGACACGTGAGGTAAGGTTAGGCGCTGATGTCAAAATTCCGAAATCATTCGTGTACGTACGTATAACATTTTTAGTGTTTAGTTTGGGAAGACAGAGCTATGTACCGGAACAGAACAGGTTCATTTAACTAAATATGGCTTTCAATAAGTACCATCAATAACCTATCTTTTTTTTTTATATAGGAGACGACGGGCAAACGAGCATACGGCCAGGCTCCGTCACTCGCTTAAGGCCCTGCGTTATATGCCTACCCTTTTGCGTATCGCCCACGATACAACCGACATTGGGCTGCCGCACCCACCTGAGCAATTTTCCCGCGCTTACTCGTCAAAATGCCGAAACCACGTAATTATTGTGAAGTTTATGGGTGTCAGAGTCAAAGTTCTTAAATAATTTTGACAACGCCATAGTGAATCGGCCTGGCAGCATCGTGTTACAAATTTTACAAACCATTGATTTTCCTCCGCTTTGCTCCTGTTTTCCTCATGATTATTTATTAAAATTATTTACGAGATTAAGGATATTTTCAACGATAAGATTTAATAACCGAGAATTCAGAGAAGGAAAATAATGTATAAATCATTTTATAAAACTCATATTTGATTGACAAATAAAAAATATGGTTATTTCGCAAGATTCGTTTTACGACAATAATCATCAGAGGTACAACCCTAGCGCATTCGTGCGATGACGTGCTTGCACATGAGTCGCACGGCGGTCAACACAATCTCGACTCTTTATGCGCGTACTTATGGTACATTTTCTTCTCGCTGCGAACGTCAGATATTATTATTAAGATTTTGTAGGCTATTATAACGTAGAATTTTCGCTTTTGTATGGGAGTGATGTATCTGTTTTCTAAACTATTTAGTAATCTTTGATACGGCTCACCTGATGATAAGTGACTACCGCCGCCCATGAACAACTGCAACACCAGGGCGATTGCAGGTGCGTTGCCGGCCTTTTGGAAAGGAGTAAGCTCTTTTCTTGAAGGTTCCTAAGTCGTATCGGTCCGGAAAAATCGCCGGTGGTAAGCTATTCCACAGAGAGGGCGTACGCGGAAGAAAATTCCTAGTGAAACGTACAATGGTGGACCGCCAAGCATCCAGATGGTATCGTGAATTTTACCGCGATGTGTGTTGGTGAAATTTGGCGGCAGGGATCAATCCGAACAATTCCTCAGACCACTCCCCGTGGTAGATGCGAAAGAAAATGTAAAGGTATAAAAGCTTTTAAAAAATTTACTTCGCAAACATCCGCGCTATAAAATAAAATAATGTGTCTTACCTAGTATGAAGAGCACCTCCCGCCCTCCCTCAATTGCGTGCACTATCCCCGTCACCACTAATCCCAGCACCGCTACTCCCAACACCACTACACTAGGCAAGACACACCACTGACGACAATACGACACGTGTTTCGCCTCTACACGAGGCATCCTCAGGTGATATAGACTCTACGGTGGCTGACCGTTAAAGTGAGCGGTGAGCCAAAACAACTGCCTTTTATACAAACCGCTGACGCAACCGCTCCCTGCTTAAGGAGCGAGCGACCGCGTCATGCGATAAAACATGCGACCAATCACCGCCGGACTTACGCAGCCGTTTGTAAAATTAAAAACAAACCGCCGCACAACGCACGCCTACCCAACCAAATAAATAAAATAAATTATTATTAGTAATTTTTTAAAAGCTTTTATATAATGTAGAATTTTATATAATCCACTATCTCTTTTTCACTTCGGAATTTTATTTTTCTCTTATTTTGTATGGATTGGTCTCAATACTGTAAGGTAGCTTTAAGGGAAGCAACGAGGTAGTTCCAACACAAGTATTTTATAACTTACTGGAGCTACCTCAATTTATGTAATGCATGATAATGTATTGAGAGAAATAATAAAACAATTATTATTAATTATTATTATAATGGATTTCGGCAAAGTAACACCTGATTCTATTAAAATGCAAAGGGATGCAACATCTATTCGCAGTGCCAGTGAATCACGCCGATTGCAAAGGACTCGGTCGTTGACGATTCGAGAGGCTCTGCGCTGTATGCGGTCACAAAGAAGTGTTCTAATTTGTACCCCGGGTAGGACAGGTACGAAGTATCAGCCGGAGAGGACACCTGCGTCTCGGTCAAAACGAGCAAGGCCGGCTTCGCCGTCTCTAGATGGTAGCGGACGACGTTAAGGTTCGTGTGAAGTCACCTAATGCTGCAGAAGTCCACGGATCACTCTCCTGCACTAACCAAGCGAAACGCAGAAGCAAAGCTTCGACATTACGTTGGTATTCTGTAAGGTCGTGGTACAGCCACAGTTTAAGCCAGCCGATCTAGTCGCCGAGTACCGGAACAAACTTGTGTCTGAAGTAGAGTTTTTTCTGAACAAAGTCACGGATTGGGGGTGACTAAATCTAGTCCAGTATGATCCTCAGAAGACACAAGCTTGCGCGTTTACCGCTAAAAGGAACCCCTTTGTCGTATCTCCTCAGTTTCAAGGCACTCCCCTTGTTGCCTCAGCCAGTATCGGAATCCTCTGCGTCGACATATCGAGTGACGTTCAGTTTCGTGGTTACTTGGAAGAGAAGGCCAAATTGGCCACTAAAACGCTTGGCGTGTTTAGCAGAGCGGGACGGTATTTAATGCCGGCACACCGCCTGCAACTTTACAAGGCGCAGGGTCGGACTCACATGGAATACTGTTCCCATCTCTGGGCTGGGGCTGCCCAGTGCCAGCTCCTTCCACTTGACCTGCGAAGAGATGTTGCATCTCTTTGCGTATTTTATCGCATCTACCACGGGGAGTGCTCCGAGGAATTGTTCGGATTAATTCCAGCCGCTCAATTTCACTATCGCACATCGCGACAAAACTCGCGATATCATCCATACCATCTGGATGATTGGCGGGCCACCACTGTGCAATTTAGAAGAAGTTTTTTTCTTCTTCGCACAAGTTCCTTGTGCAATCGATTACTACCAGCGATTTTTCCGGACCGATGTGACTTAGGGACCTTCAAGAACAGAGCTTACACATTTCCAAAAGGCCGGCAACGCATCTGCAATTCCCATGGTGTTGCAGTTGTTCATGGGCGGCGGTAGTCATTTACCATCAGGTGAGCTGTATGCTCGATTGCCCGCTCTCCTATATAAAAAAATATTATTGATAGTACTTATTGAAAGCCATATTTAGTTAAATGAACCTGTTCTGTTCCGGAAAATAGCTCTGTCTTCCCAAACTAAACACTAAATATGTTATAGTACGTACGGATGATTTCGGATTCTTGACATCAGCGCCTAACCTTACCAAACATAACGCTTCCTCTCCTATAAAAGAAATGCTACAGCAGAAGCCGCAGCGTGTTTACACTGTTATTCTATCTCTATACATATATCTTGCCAAAACTAAAAAACGGCTCGACCGATTTTGATGAATTTTTTTGTGTGTGTTTGAATGGTTCCCTAGATGGTTTAGAATCACATTTTTAACCCGGTAGGTGACGATGATGTCGAGATCCAGAAATCACCCGTGCGAAGCCGGGGCGTATCGCTAGTATTAAATAAAAAAAATCACTACAACCGATTTTCTTACCGATTTTATCAAATTTCAACGTAGGGAGGATTTGCTGCCGGCACTTGTGGAAGGTCGATTGTCATCGGAGTACAAGGTCACCCCGAACCTTTAATTTTGTTCTGTCCTCGAATATTAAACATGGGGGCATTTTATGATAATAACGAGTATTTTAAATGGTTTTTCCCATAATAATCTTTATCAAAAAACATATTGTTAATCAATACCTTCATTAACAATTTCAGTGGTGATGGTTGTCGGCTGCACTGAGAATCAAACTCAAGTTTTTATTAGGTACCTTCATCATCATCATTACAGCTCTTCATAAGTCCACTGCTGAACACAGGCCTCTCCCAAGAAATGCAACAAGGCACGGTTCCGAGCCTACTACATATAACGACCTACTGCATCTCTTATCAGGTCCTCACTCAGGCTGGTACTTTAGAACCTTTCTTACTAACGGTTGTCATTTCTTTGAGCTATATGGCCAGCCCATTGCAATTTCAGCTTATTGATCCGTTGGCCTATGGCTGTTACTCTGGCTCTACTGCAGACATCCTCATTTCGATGTCTATCGCGCAAATAAACTTCGAGCGTAGCTCTTTCTGAAGCTTACCTTCGAGATACTGCATAACGTCGTCTGCAAAACTCGAAGAACCTTTTATTTGGTGAATATCAGTTAAGGAAATTATTTAATAGTGTATATTCATTAAACCTTATGAACATACGAGTATAAACAAAATAATTTAAAATTAAAAATTTTGTACAGCCGACTTCAATAAGATTTATTAAGAATAACTCAAAAACTATTGGTCTGACCTTGATCAAATTCACATGGGACCACACGTGAAGTACCATCTTTCAAATAAAAAAAGAATCATCCAAATCGGTTCACCCCGTAAAAAGTTATGAGGTAACACACATAAAAAAAAAACATACAGCCGAATTGAGTACCGTCTCCTTTTTGGAAGTCGGCAGAAAAATGGAAACAATAGTTTTTATTTAAACGACTTGTTAAAACTAAAAACTGGTTTTGTTCCTAATAAAGATATGTTGAAGAGTTAAAGGAAATCGACACTTTAAATTTATTAGATGTTTTATATTATTTAAAAAAATATTAAATCAAGCATACCTTCCTTTCAGGAGTCAGAGGAAATGGTTCTGCATTTTTAGATTCGATCGGCGGTGGAGCTTCCCTAAGAGCATCTACATTGCAGGATACCTCACTGCGACACACTGGGCATGTTGGCTGCAAGCAACTTATCTAGATTAGTGATTTCTTAAATTTACGCGAACACTGCCCACATTCATTCATTCATCCATTCATTATAGCCTTTCATAAGTCCACTGCTGAACATAGGCCTCCCCCAAGGAATGCCACAAAGCACGGTCCTGAGCCACCTGCATCCATCGACTTCCTGCATGTCTTACCAGGTCGTCACTCCATCTCGTGGGGGGTCACCTACCGGTACGAGGCTGCCACTCAAGAACCTTTCTTCCCATCGGTTGTCGGTTCTCCGAGCTATATGGCCGGCCCATTGCCACTTCAGCTTACTAATCCGTTGGGCTATGTCGGTTACTCTGGTCCTACTGCGGATATCCTCATTCCTAAGTTTATCACGCAGAGAAACTCCGAGCATAGCCCTCTCCATAGCTCGCTGAGCGACCTTGAGTTTCCTCATACGGTCAGCAATGAAGGACCACGTCCCAGATCCGTAAGACATCATCACTGGCAACACGCACTGGTTGTACAATTTCGTTTTAAGGTTTTGAGGTATGTCTGACGAGAAGATGTGTCGTAGATGCCGAAACAGACCGACTCATTGACCACGTCCAAATGGCTACAGATTCTTTGCTACAACAGGTCCCATCCGCAGAGATCGTGATCCTTGGCGCTTTTAACGCCCACCACGCCGAATGGCTCGGTTCACCTTTAACCGATCTTGCGGGGAGATCTGTTTATGACTTTGCTTTGGCATACGGTCTGACACAACTGGTTACTTCACCTACGCGGACTCCAGATGTGGAGGATCATATACCTTCCCTGTTGGACCTTCTGCTGACCACTCATCGGGACGGATATCAGGTCCACCCGATCCCTAAAAAAGGCGACCGCTCAGACCCGTCCAACTATAGGCTCATGCGGTACCTTGAGGATCACCAGCTGATTAGTGACCGCCAATACGGTTTTCGTCGAGGTCGATTTGCTGGTGATCTTCTGGTCTACCTGACCCATAAATGGGCAGAGGCAGTAGAGTCCAAGGGGGAGGCGTTGGCCGTTAGTTTGGACATTGCAAAGGCACCGGTACACCGGTCGTGCCAATATTTCTCGGGAAAACGTCGCCGAGTACCGGAACAAACTTGTGTCTGAAGTCGAGTGCTGAACAAAGTCTCAGATTAGGGGCGACTAAATCTAGTCCAGTTTAATCCTCAGAAGACACAAGTTTGCGCGTTTACCGCTAAAAAGGGCCCCTTTGTCGTATCTCCTCAGTTTCAAGGCACTCCCCTTCTTGCCTCAGCCAGTATCAGAATCCTCGGAATCGACATATCGAGTGATGTGCAGTTTCGTGGTCACTTGGAAGAGAAGGCCAAATTAGCCTCTAAAAAGCTTGGCGTGCTCAGCAGAGCGGGACAGTATTTCATGCCGGCACACCGTCTGCAACTTTACAAGGCGCAGGTTCGGCCTCACATGGAATACTGTTCCCATCTCTGGGCAGGGGCTCCCCAGCGCCAGCTTCTTCCACTTGACCGCATCCAGCGCAGAGCGGCTCGAATCGTCGACGACCGAGTCCTTTCCGATCGGCTCGATTCATTGGCATTGCGAAGAGATGTTGCATCCCTTTGCATTTTCTTTCCCATCTACCACGGGGAGTGCTCTGAGGATCCTAGCCGCCAAATTTCACGAACGCACATCGCGGCAGAACTCCCGATACCATCCACGTCATCTGGATGATTGACGGTCCACCACTGTGCGATTTAGAAGATGTTTTCTTCCTCGCACGACTTCCTTGTGGAATCGATTACCATCAGCGATTTTTCCAGACCGATACGATTTAGGGACCTTCAAGACAAGAGCGTACTCCTTTTTAAAAGGCCGGCATCTGCGATTCCCTCCCTGGTGTTGCAGCTGTTCATGGGCGGCGGTAGTCACTTACCATCAGGTGAGCCGCTATAAAAAAAAAAGCTTCCCGAACGCTGCCCAGCCGAGTTGAATCCGTCGATTGACTTCTCGGTCGAAGTTAGACTTACCTAGTCGGAATATTTGTCCCACGTAAACATACTCGTCAACAACTTCGAGCTTAGTGCTCCCAACAACTACCGGCATAGGTGTGACATGGATATTAAACACTGCCCACAAGTTGAATAAAACTACGTTAGTGGATTTCTTTTTTAATTTTTAAATCTTGACGTTTCGGGTATATTACAGCCCCTCTGTGACAACCAGTCCGGGATAACGAATCAAAATTCGTGCTGCTGTGTCGAAAAGATTTATCATAGAACATTAGCGCCCCGTCACCGGCGCATCCGCAGAAAAAATACTCATTATTTCTTACGGCTAATACTTTTCTGCTCACCAGATGTCGCTAGTTGACACTGAGGTAAAGTTTTGTGTTACACAATGTAATTTAATTGAGAAATTGGTTTTTAATAAAAGTTTATCAGCTTCTAGAGTATTATATTAATACACGAAACACTACGTCCGTGGTTTGCTCTCTAATTTTTTGCACATTTTTAACTTTTTTTAAATTTTTCTACTTTCATGAATATCTGTGGTTTGGTTTATTTATTTTTAATGTTATTAATATAAAATATAGCTAATAGTACAGAAAGAAACAATAACCTTTACATTTTCCGAACAAATTAACTATGAAATCTGTCAAATATTATACCTCACTTTCTAGTAGCGCCGCCCTGGTGGCAGAAAAAGTCGTGGATTGCCTGGTGGAAGCCCTCATTGCGAAAATATCGTTTTAAATTAGGAAGAGTTATATTGTTAAATTGAGAATAATAATACATTCATTTAAGTATAATGATATATAGCTTTTAAATAAATTTGTCTGTACGATACGCGCGCCAGCTACTGAAGTTAATTGTACTATGCCTATAACCTTTGCGGAAGTGCATGCAAATATTGACAAAGTTTTACCGCGATCAGATGAACGGTATGGCAGCGCATAAAATACGAACAAACAAACATTAATTTTTATATATTATATTTACCTGATATGGCGGGGCTTGCATCTGCTGCCAGTTGGGAAGTTTATCTAAATATTCTTGATAATATTTCTTCTCAACGATAAGATGGCTCCCAAGGCAATGGCTGTGAAAATAGTGGTAACATTGGGTCTTGGTGAATTTATCACCCTCGACAAAATCGTACAGGCAAAACAGGCACTGGCCACTCGGAAGATTTCTTTCCGTTAAGTTCTCGCCTACAAGCTGAAAGAAAAAAATAAAACTGTCTGTAATTAAAAAAATATGTTAAAGCTATGCATTACTTTGGACACAGAAGATCAGAAGGCCATGTACATTAGACATGGGACGAGTACTCGGTTTGGATTCGGTACTCGGCGAATTCGGCGTTTTTTTTTTGGGTTCGGCCGAGCACCGAGTATTAACGGCCGAGTACCGAGTACTCAGCCTTAATTATATCCCAGAGAAAAATAGACAAAAAACTAGTTTTTATCATTATTATTATATTAGACACATTACAACATCAGGAACATGAGAAGCAGCATAAATATTTAGAACTTAACTTAGAAGAAATATTAAGAATCTATAATAGAAATTATTATTACTAATATTTAAAATTTAAGAGAGGAAGATTTTGATGCAAAAACGCTAGTTTTTCGTCTCTATTTGGGTCTAGTTTGTAAGGGAAATAACCGCACGCCGCCCGCTACCGCTTTTTTTTTAAAGCCGAGTATTCGGCAGAGTACTTGTCTCAATCTAGGCCGAGTACCCGCTGGCCGAGTACTCGGCGAATCACTACTCGTTCCATGTCTAATGTACATATATTATATGACATTACCGGTTATTTCGAAACAGTGTACAAAATAAAGTAGCAGTCTAAATACAGCACTGGTGCAGGCATCCTCTTATTTCTAAAAGGGTTTTAGGCAGAAGAGCGACAGGAAGACCACTGCACTGCCCTGATCTGTGTTGGCAGACTCAAGACGTCCTCGTTATTTTGAGCTTCCTGGATTAAGTTTCCTCGCGATGTTGTCCATCACCGATGAAACATCGGAAGAAAACGAGCATGTGATAAATCAGTACTTAAAATTGCAAACAATAATGTTCAGATTTTTTACCATTAATGATGGCTACCAGCCGCGGAAACTCAGGATCTAAGCACTCGCCGTAAAATTAGCTCATATGCGAGCAACCTGCGTTCGATGCCCATCGGCAACAATGAAATAGTTAATTACAATAATTTTAAGCGCTGATTTATCATAATATGCTCAATAGTGAAGGAAAACATCATGAGTAAACCGAGAGTCAGTGAAAATAGCAACGAATATATTATGTGAAGTACTGCATCAAGACACTGGGGTAGCGCCGCGGACACTTCTTTGCCCTAAAACCCTTTTAAAAATAAGAAGAGGCCTGTGCCCAGTAGTGTAAAGTAAAGGCTGTAACTTTTCAACTCTTCATACCTACAGATTACAACTGAAAATTTTATGTAAGGACAAATATGCCTATTCATATGATTTTGGGATTGGCATTTCTAGTAATTCCAATCTCACCTTAAGCAGCAATTATGAGTGACGGACGAGGCTCAGCTTTGCTTGGCGATCAATCAAACAAGGGATAACGGCAATTCCATACAAAAATGCCAAACCCATAATTCACAACTGGGGATAGGGAGTAGTATGAGGGTGTCAGCTCTGCGCCCATTAACCCAACCGCCAGTGTGGTGAGTGCAAGCTGTGGAGTACTGCTGTCACATGTTGTTTTTTGCTATGCGTACAGCAAACACGTGTAATTTATTAATATAATTAGTGTCTGACAATCCGTCAGGTTACAATCTTCTTTCTTCAAAGACAAGAGTGAATAGGCTAGTACTACGCTAAGATAGTGTGATTTATCATCTAGGGCTTCATCACCACTTACCATCAGGTGGGAGCGGTGTTGGTTACAAGCGAGCTAGCTCATTTTTAAATAGGCGAGATTTTAGCTGTGCACTACACATTTTGTTGAATAGGAATTAAAACGAAAACCATACAGAGAGATGTATTTTTCGAAATTCAAAAGCCTTTAAAAGTCCCACTACTACGTACGCTGCTTAAAACAAATTTCCTTGTAATAATCGATATAAATTACGTTCTTAATAAAGAGTAAGAGCTACTTTAGCTTTCTTTTAAACAATTTCCCAGGGGCGTAGCTACCGCCGTATCAACGATACGGGGCCCCCGGGCTACAGGGACCCCGAACGTACTCGTATGTAAGCAAAACTTCTGAGGACTTCTGTGGGACAAGATGTGGGTTTGAATTGTTTGGCTAGCTTAGTTCTTAGGAGTATTAATTGTAAGTAATAACTTATAATCAATATATAATTATTTTAATTCAATGCGAGAGTTTTTGTTCCTTTTGTGAAAAATCTTTACCCTTCATTTGGGCCCCCCGACAAATTTTGATACAGGGCCCCTCTAAGACACGCTACTCCACTGCAATTACCTACACTCGGTCAACGAAGTGACAGGCGACGGTATTCTATGAGGTATGGTCCTTTCCCGGTCCAGCTGAACCATTGTTTTTGAATTAATAATATTTTTAAAATTTTTCAAATTAATAAGATATTATAAATATTCTTTAATTTAAATAACATAGAACTAACTAAAAAACTTCTCTTTTTTTATTATTATTAAAATGGGCTTACTCTTAACCTCCATCCGACCCGAGGGCAAAGATGAGGTCTACGATGGAGCGAGTTTACCAAGGAGAAGCCTGTTTACATGCACTTTGAAGAGGTTCAGGTCATATGCACTCGGAAAAATAGACGCCGGCAGGGTATACCACTCCTTGGCTGTGCGCATTATAAAAGAGGACTTAAAGATCTTAGTGCGACTATTAGGAATATTAACCAAGTGAAGGTGGTAGGTAACCTGCAGCGCGTCTGATACTCCAATAGGAGAGAGGATATGGCGGTATGAGCTTATAAACCTCTTGGGTACACTCTCTGAAGTATAATCTGTAGAAGACCTGCAAACAGGCAACTTGGCGGCAGTGAGTGAAGCTGTGAAGCTTAGTTTCCACCAGTTTGCCACCGATAAGCCGCTTGCGGCAAGTTGATAATTTGCTGAGTCATCCCAAAGGTGACTGCAATACTCCATACATGTTCAGACTTGAGCTTTGTATAAAGTTAGAAGCTGTCCAGGCGTGAAGTATCGCTTCACCCTATTTATATCCAGTTGTTTGGCCGTAGTTTGTGCTTTCGACTCAATGTCGGCGCCAAAGTTGAGGTTGGCACTCAACTGTATGCCGAGAAGCTCGAGATGACCTCTACAGATATAAATGAAACTAATTTTTACGGATTTTATCCGTTTAATTTTACTTTTTAATTCCCGACGTTTCGTGTGCTTTACAGCACCCGTGGTCACGGGGAGGGGGGGGGGGGGGGCATCGGATATTAAAAAGTAAAATTAAACGCGATAAAATCCGTAAAACTTACTTTCATTTAATGTGTAGTCTCCGCATAAATATAAGAAATCTACAGATGTACCTCGGAAAGTAGGAGTCAGATCAGATGGACTCCGTTTTGCATTAAAGTTGTAGCTAATATTGCAAATAGATAGTTTTTATATAGTAAGATGCTAAGACTTAGTGGTAGAAAAATTAAAGTCCCAACTTCGGAATGTTAAATTTTTTATTCTTTTTAGTTATCTGTACGTAGTCATCTTGTATTTTTTATTAACACTTAATTCGTAGGAAAATACTCGGCTACCGGGTCCAATGGAGCTATTATAATATCATAAGCTTATTTCAAAACTGCTTTATAAATGTACATATATGGTTACGTTCTGATAAGGATTCGATACGTGCAAAAAAAAATATTATTAAATCAAATACTAATATTTTTTTTACCTTTACGGAAGCCGTTACGAAAATATACTAAATTTGTCCATAGTTTTGTGACAAATTTTAGGCTTATCGTTATAATTTCTATAATTACTTATTTCAAATAAAAACTTCTGTGTTTTCCTACACAATAATGTACTTACTTATACAAAATAAAGGGAGATCAATCATCATAGAAAAAATTAAAAAAAAACGTAACAAAAATACAATATCTTCTTTGAAGTAAAATAAATCTTTCCAACACTCTACTACTACACTAACTTTTTAAACACACTACCAACATCGTCATTTTTGCTGTGCTACACTATCGTTGAAAGGTAACTATTACGAGCGGCAACGTTGTAAACGTCGAATTTGAATAGTTATTAAACAATATATTAACTGCTGGGTCTGTTGGACCCATTAACGACACCTGAAGTGTTAAAAGTTAGTTATTTTTACATTTTTAAGTAGACTAAGGAATATCATAATCTTAAAGTTTTCTAAATGGTTATATTTTTAGACACAATAGTAAGACCGTAGCAATGAACTATATGTAGTGCACGGGACAGTTGTTACTCTTAGAGTTGATAATATTCTTCCTCCAAATGTGCAAGCGACCCTTGACGAATAACCTAATAAATAAATAAAGAATTATCACAATCAGTTCACGTTCGGCGAAAGTATTGCGTAAAAAACATTACCTCCATAGAACCTCGTCCTTTTTTAAAGGTCGGGTTAAAAAATAGACAAAGGCAAGGGACCAAAGAAGCAATAGTAAAACATTACCAATAATGACAGATAGCATTATAAACGAATTGAAAATTTTAAGACTTAAATCAAGCGTAATAAGCAAATCATTAAAAGACGTCGCTAATTTTATATTTCTCATCGAGGCCTGACGTTGTTGGATCTCGATTCTAAGAAATTTAGATACATCGATCGTTTTACCAGTGAACATCAATCATTTCTGCGTATTCGCACACGATGCATGACTTGGTATAAACTTCTGGACATATCTTTACAGCCTATCAAAAGTCTACAGCCCCCCCATGGATTGCCGCATAGGGTGGAATTTGTAGTAGTTGCAAAGCTTGGTAGGCGGGTTGGTGACTCCAGTTTTTTAGTTTTTAGTAGTTATTAGAATGACAACGTTCCCTTATGTCCTATTTCAGTTGCCCCTGTCCTTATGTAGCAGAGCCATGCTGCAGCTATATTATGGTTGTAGCACGAATGGGTCGGCTCAACCAGTGAATGACCACGCTCTCACAAAGTACCAGCGTAAAATAGTAGCTCAATGCCGCTGTTTCATTTCGTATAGTGAGTGTAGAGAACCGGAGACCTTTTTTATTGGAAACGGGGCATTCTACCTTAGTCCTCGGGGGTGGCAACGCATTTACTTTTTGATTCTTAATCGAGGAAAGATGTGGACGTCTATGGGCCACAGCATTCACTTACCATCAAGTGGACTGTCTGCTCGTTTGTCACCGTTATTTAAAAAAAATCTTTTACGACACTCAAGGGACGATATGGGGTAGTGGATACCCGTACACCGCCACTAAACGATTATTCTGGACTTGAATTTAGGGTTGGCCGTAATAGCCACTGGCGATAGCAGTGTCTGACTTTTTGAAGACAACCTTTTTTTCTTCTAAATATTCATAATTCTGCCAAAATGAGATAGACATCCAATTCACTTACTAATCCATATTTAAATGAGAAACTAGTTGAATTATTTCTTGTATTTAAAGAAAGAAAGAAACACCTTTATTCGTAGCTACGTTATAATAGTGTTGCCCAAATGCAAGAAAAAGACGAGACTTAGCCAGTCTTGCAAAAGCCTCGCAAAAGCCTATTGCTATTTATTAAACGTTACTTTAGATCTTAGAACAACTTAACACAGTAGGCACATTTTGAGCTTGAATTAACATAGCCATAGAAAGACCAACCAAATTAATAAATGTCTAAACATTTAATGAGAAATTCGAAAAATCAACTAATACCGGGTGGGGTTTGAACCCACGACCTAAGCGATCCGTGCCGATGCTCTAACCAACTGAGCTGTCTACCATGTCTCACGGCCACGGGAGTTAGTCTGTTTCTTAATAAACGTTTACATTTAATAAGCTTACATGTGCTAAAACTTAGTCAAAACATATAAAAAACAAATTAATGACATTAACTTGACTATATTATAAAGAACATTATCTGTCTAGAAAGAGATTGATAGACCCTTATATGAAATGGAATAAAAGAGTTATACAATTTACCATTTAATTAAATAAAAAAAATAAAATACAATACAAATTAAATTACATAACAGTACACAACAGCTTTGACATTACTGTTACTTTATATTAATTCTTATGACCAAGAATTAATACAAAGTAACCATCTGGCTGACTCATCACTTAACCTATTTCTATGTTTTCTAATTACTAATGATGCTTTGGAAAATAATCTCTCAGCAGGTACTGAAGTTGCAGGTATTGAAAGAAAATCACGGGCCATCTTCGATAAAGTCGGATATTCTGTCTCATGCGTCCTCTACCACTCTAAAATGTCTTCTGAACTGGCGGCTCTGGGTTTACTTAGGTACTCCTCAAACTCGTCTATAACTAAGCCTTGATGAAAAGATCCAGATCCAGATGACGTCGAGGGACATGCATACAGTTTCTCATAGTCTAATCATCTTCATCATATTCACATACTTTCTTTTCATTTCTTCGTGATTCTAGAGATGTATTCACTGAGTGTAGACTTTTATATTCTTTATAAAGTTCATTAAATTTGCGCAGGCTTTCTGTTTTAATTTGCTTCCCCCATAATGTCATGTCTAAAGTCTGAGTTTTATGCCTTGGGTCTAAAATTAAAGTGGTACAATAAATCCAGTTGCTCTTTTTATAATGTTTAAGCATTTTGTCTCGAGCTGCTTGAAAACCCAGAATGAGCCTTTCATCCACTTCGGATCGATTAGGTTTCTCATCTAATTGTTTTACCATGGATTCATTACAATGGTACTATTTATTTTGTGTAGTATTAACAAGCATTTGCTTTTTGTTACTTCTTTTTATAGAATGAAAGGTGATAAATCAGCATACAGTCTACCTGATTATAGGTAGAAGCCGTGACTCATGGACACCTTCGCTAAAAATCAAAAATCAGATGCATTGTCACCCCTGAAGACAGATTAGGCCTGGTGACCATTAATACAGAGCTGAATTGTGCTGTTATTTCATGATTGTATTCTGTGCGAGCATGTGATGATGACATGAGATAGTTAGATTAGTCTATTTCAGTTATTATCATAGTATAATGTCTTATGGAATTTTGCTATAAGAAAATTTGGCTGATTTAGAAACTACATTTTTTGCAGAAGAGGGCTATAAGAGCTATTTACAACCTAAAACCGAGAGTCTCTCAAAGAAAAAATTAAAGAAATAAATATATTAACTTTGTTCTCTCAGTATATTTACATTAGTTTAATCTTTATTCATAAAAATAAAAGTAGTTTTATTAAAAAGAAGTGATATACACTGTAAATACCAGGAACAAACACAAGCTAGTGATACCAGTTTCCACACTACAGTGTCAGTAATTCATTCATGGGGCAATATATGTGCTATTACAAAAAAGTCTCAGAAAATATATAAGGTCTATTTTTCTATCAATTTGTTTAAATATTTAATTAAACAAAAACTCTATAAACAGGGTTATTATAATAGGAAGGAATACATTATTAATAATAATCCCTGAGAATGTGGTGGTCGCTTACAAGCGGTTTCTTAAATAAGTTCTTTATTCTTTATTGTACACACTATACGTTAGTAACAATTATTAAATATTTAAATAAAATGTACAAAGGCGAGCTTAACCCTAATAAGAGTTCTCTTCCAGCAAACCTATTGGGATAGAGAAATAGTTTTATATAAAGCAAGTAGGTAGCAGCGTGCGTACTTAATAATTAACATAACACTAGTTAATAGAAATTTGCTATAAGTAACAGTTAACAATTAACATATAAGTGTATAAAATATAAGTATAATTTATTTTCTTATTTCTATTGATTTACATACATATATATTAATAAACTAGCTGTGCCCCGCGGTTTCACCCGCGTATATCACGCATCTGCGCCTTGCGACATGCGAACTTCGAGAGAGACATCACGACGGACGGTTGCTGAATTAACAAAGATTTAAAAAGTGAAATATGTTACTAAAATTACATGGTTAACGTAATTGGTGGTTATGCATGATACAGGTACTGATACGAATAATGTCTATGTATCAGTACGTACTCGTATTAGTAGTATTTGTACCGGTGTTACTATTTCACATTTTAACATGAAAAAGTAGTTATTGTGATATAACTGTAATAGTTAAACATATGTTATCCCAGACTTTTTTGTAGAGATTAATATCCTCTATAAAAGTGAAGTACATTATTTTGCTCTATTATCAATAGTTTCCTAAGCGTACGCGATATAAGAATTCTTTTTGGATTTTTTATAACACCTTGGGTTACATTAACGAAGTTTTTATACGGATCCCTAACTTTTTGAAAATATTACATAGAATATGTTCATCAGGGATAATGCAGGATTCCAATGGTGAAAGAATTTTTCAAATCGATCCAGTAGTTTCGGAGCCTACTCAATTCAAACAAACAAACAAACAAATATTTCTTCTTTATATTAGTAGTGTAGATGTAGATGTAGATGTAGAAGTGTAGATGCATGATACAGGTACTGATACGAACAATGTCTAGGCCACATTATTCGTATCAGTACGTACTCGTATTAGTAGTATTTGTACCGGCGTTACTATTTCACATTTAAACATGAAAAAGTAGTTATTGTGACATAACTGTAATAGTCAAACATATGGTATCGCAGACTTTTTTGCAGAGATTAATATCCTCTATAAAAGTGAAGTACATTACTTTGCTCTATTATCAATAGTTTCCGAAGCGTACGCGATATAAGGATTCTTTTTGGTATTTTTTTCACACCTTGGGTTACATTAACGAAGTTTTCATACGGATCCCTAACTTTTTTGAAAATATTACATAGCCTATATTCATCAGGGATAATGTAGGATTCTAATGGTGAAAGAATTTTTCAAATCGGTCCAGTAGTTTCGGAGCCTATTCAATTCAAACAAACAAACAAACAAATCTTTCCTCTTTATATTAGTAGTGTAGATGTAGATGTAGATGTAGATGTAGAAGTGTAGATGTAGATGTAGAAGTGTAGATGCATGATACAGGTACTGATACGAATAATGTCTAGGCCACATTATTCGTACGTACTCGTATTAGTAGTATTTGTAACGGCGTTACTATTTCACATCTTAACATGAAAAAGTAGTTATTGTGACATAACTGTAATAGTTAAACATATGGTATCGCAGAATTTTTTTTTGTAGTGATTAATATCCTCTATAAAAGTGAAGTACATTACTTTGCTTTTTTATCAATAGTTTCCGAAGCGTACGCGATATAAGGATTCTTTTTGGTATTTTTTTCACACCTTGGGTTACATTAACGAAGTTTTCATACGGATCCCTAACTTTTTTGAAAATATTACATAGCCTATGTTCATCAGAGATAATGTAGGATTCTAATGGTGAAAGAATTTTTCAAATCGGTCCAGTAGTTTCGGAGCCAATTCAATTCAAACAAACAAATAAATCTTTCCTCTTTATATTAGTAGTGTAGATAGTAGTGTAGATATAGGTCATCATCAGATGCTCGCACAGAATACAATCATGAAATAACAGCACAATTCGGCTCTGTATTAATGGTCACCAGGCCTAATCTGTCTTCAGGGGTGACGATGCACCTGATTTTTGAATTTTAGCGAAGGTGTCCATGAGTCACGGCTTCTACCTATAATCAGGTAGACTGTATGCTGATTTATCACCTTTCATTCTATAAAAAGAAGTAACAAAAAGCAAATGCTTGTTAATACTACACAAAATAAATAGTACCATTTATTTGAACTATGTATATAGTGTTAAGGTAGGTATTGTTTAACATTTGCAAGTGTTTTTTTAATCTCAGATTTAGTTAAACTTATAGCAGGAGCACATTAGGACCTAAATTTTTAATTGTCAATAAACTTTAGGAATCACACTCAATTGTACTTTATTTAAAGTAAATATAAATAATAATAAATAATCAAGTATAAACTTTAGGAACCACACTCAATTGTACTTTAATTAAAATGAATATTATAATATAAATAATAAACATAAAGAATAATAAATAATCAGGTACTCACCTCCATAAGTTCAAAAACTACAGGCTGCCCTAGACATTCTGCCAATTTTTCCTTAATTTTTGAATTAATCATGGACAGCCGCTGGTCGTCCAAGCCACTGGGATTCCTTAAGGTCACTTCAGGACTACTGTCTGGATAATCTGGAGTAAATTTAACTTTTAAAGTAACACATACATATTGCTGATCTGTATCATCTCCAGTTAATGGATGAACGACTGTTTCGATTATAGTAGGCTTATTGCCTTCTCGTTCAATTATTACATCGTCCATTAAAATAACTTCCAGAGCTTCCACTTCATTAGATACCCTAAAACACAATCACACATGTAAAAGGTACAAAGCAATACATACTAATATTGCAATTTTAGGTTCACAGACCTTTCATCTACGACGGACGTCATGTTGACGAAGGGGCGCAGTCTGAAATGGGATGGGTTTGGGTTAGCTTTTTTTATAAATGCATTCAGTTCAGGCAGGCGCAATGCAGACGGTGCAACAAACACCTAGTTTTCAGTTTCAGCGACGAATCATTGACACAAAATCAATCATGCTATCACTATACATAGATTATAGACTAAAACATAGACAAAAGTTAGAGTAGTTTGTAATGGTCCGATGCCCCGAAGGAAAAGTACCAAAGAGTACATAATCACTACGTTTTAGCCAATATCTCTAGAGGCAGACATTCATTCTAATTCCATCTCAGTCCATCTCAGTCCTCGGAGGTGACAACGTATTTGTAACCTTCTTTATCTAAGGTTGATTGCAGGTATCCATCGGCTGCAGTAGCCATTTACATACTGCATAGCATATGCATAGCATCTTAGCATACTGACTGTGAGTTCGTTTGTGAATTATATAAAAAAGAACAATTTATGAATAAATGCACTCGTTACTTGACTTTTAAGAAACGGAAACGAAACGTAACGTAGCTAGTGACAACAAAAACGTCCACAGACTATTTGACTACTGATTTATATAATTGTTTTAAAACAGTGAATTACTGTCTCCACCTACAGCGCCAACTAACGCGTACTTTTATATGACGATGTTCGTGTACTTTATATGACGATGTTAATCGATTTTACGCGGCATCAATGTATCTCGGCATACGAGTGGGCCTACCAGTCTGAGTAATAATAAATCGACGAGCTATGCGTGCTACAACAGTATAAAGGCAAAGCGACTGTGTTACCTACCCAACTCAAGCTTTATGTTTTTATAGCTTTGCAGTTACGTCAAAAACGTAATATAAACTTAGGACTCACTTCGTTATTGTATTTATGCTATAAAATCCAAACGTATATCGAATAAGTATCGAGAATGAATTTATAGTATTATAAATATTTGCAGTTAATTAGATTTCTTGGACATTTTTTATCTATTTACACTGATCATCATCATTACAGCCTTTCATAAGTCCACTGCTGAACATAGGCCTCCCCCAAGGAATGCCACAAAGCACGGTCCTGAGCCACCTGCAGCCATCGATTTCCTGCATGTCTTACCAGGTCGTCACTCCATCTCGTGGGGGGGGGGGGGGGGGTGGTCGCTCTGCACTTCGCCTACCGGTACGAGGCTGCCACTCTTCTTCGTTTTTCGAGCTATATGGCCGGCCAATTGCCACTTCAGCTTACTAATCCGTTGGGCTATGTCGGTTACTCTAGTTCTACTGCGAATATCCTCATTCCTAAGTTTATCACGCAGAGAAACTCCGAGCATAGCTCTCTCCATAGCTCGCTGAAATCCGTCGATTGACCTCTCGGTCGAAGTTGGACTTACCTAGTCGGACTATTTGCCCCAGGTAAACATACTCGTCAACAGCTTCGAGCTTAGTGCTCCCAACAACTACCGGCATAGGTGTGACATGGACATTAAACATAATCTTTGTTTTGTCCATGTTCATCTTAAGACCTATCCGTTGGGAGACACTATTGAGGTCATTGAGCATACTGATTAGGTCCTCCAGCGATTCTGCCATAAGGACTACATCGTCAGCAAATCGAAGGTGAGTGATGTATTCGCCATTGATGATTGAAAGGATACGGTATTACCGTATCCTTTCCAGTCCAGAAGCTTGAAAACGTCTTCCAATGCAGCGGTGAAGAGTTTCGGGGATATAACGTCACCCTGTCTTACACCACTCTGCAATTGGATAGGTTTCGTATTCTGGTTCTGTACTCGGATAGCCATCGTAGCCCTACTGTACAAGCACTTCAGCACTTCGATATACCGACAGTCAACTTGGCACCGCTGAAGGGACTGCAGCACCACCCAAATTTCAACGGAATCAAAGGCTTTCTCATAGTCCACATATGGCAGGCATAGTGGCAAATTGTACTCCTCGGACTTCTGTACAACTTGCCGAAGGATATGTATGTGGTCTATGGTGCTAAAATCCTTTCGAAAATCGGCTTGTTCGGGAGGCTGGAAGTCGTCAAGTCTGCGTGCGAGACGATTCGTAATGACTCTCGAAAACAGCACGTAGACGCGACTCAGAAGGGAAATCGGTCTGTAGTTATTCAAGAGAAATCTCAGGTGCCCCGGAAACGATGCTGCCACACTCGGTCTTCAGCCTTGACAGTTGGCTCTTTCTGGCAGACAGATCTCTGGCAAAGACTTTGGAGCCTTGGTTCCGCTCAATCGCTTCTTCAATACAAGCTGTATTGAAGTTGCGTAAGTCCCGCCGCATGCATTTGGAGATCTGTCTGTTCAGTTGTCTGTATGCTGTGAAATCTGTTGAAGAATGTAGCTTCATCTCCCGTCTAACAGCCATGAGATTAAGGGGATTAAGAGGTGATCGAAGAGTTTTTGTGTTCTTCTGCGGCGGGTCTTGCAGAACTTAGCTCCGACCGCATGGACAGTTTCCACGAGCTTGTCATTCATATCTCCACTTCATTGCAGTCTTCTAGGCACTGAAAACGGTTTTGTAACTCGAGCTGAAAGCTTTCGGGACTCTGGAACAGAGCACGAGGGGGACGGAGCGTTGACTTCATTAGACGAGACCTCTCCAACTTAACGTTTAAGTTCAGTGTGCCTCTAACCATTCGGTGATCGCTACCAGTTTTCACCCTCGCGATCACGGAGACATCACTGAACAGTTGTCGTCTGGTCGTCATAATGAAGTCAATCTCATTTTTTGTGGAACCGTTGGGGCTCGAGCAGGTCCACTTCCTGTGGGGCCGTTTCTGGAAGAAAGATTTCATCATTAAGAGTCCCTCTTACTCCATAAAGTCGGCTAGCTGCTGGCCCCTTGGGTTCCATTGCCCTATTCCAAATTTCCCTACTTTCAGTTCACCGTTCTCTCTTGTGCCTAGTTTTGCACTGAAGTCTCCCATTAACACCGTATATTGGGGTTTGGAGGAATGCATGGCTCTAGAGATATCCTCATACATTTCCTCCACCTCCTCATCGGGGTGTGCCGAGGTTGGTGCGTAAGCCTGTATGACCTTCAGCGAATACCGTTTGGTGATTCTGAGTATAAGGTACGCAACCCTCGTCGACACATTCCCGATCTTTACAACGTTGTTAACGAGAGACTTGTGGACGATAAATCCGACACCTCCTTGGGACAGATGGTCGCCCTCCCGGTGATAGAGCAAGTTGCCGGATTCGAGGATTACCATGTCCTCCCCCTCTCTTCGGACTTCGGATAATCCTATTATATGCCAGCGTAACTTGTCTATCTCTTCTTCCAGCTCCACGATCTTCTCGTCAGTCCTCAGGGTGCGTGCGTTGTACGTTGTCAGGTCGAGTCGTCTAAGGTGGCAACCGAACCTCCACCGGAGATTCTTAGCACCCCCTGCCCCGCCGTTACCATGGTCGCCACCGTAGCCAGGATTAGCGGGGCCGCCGGGGACTGGGGGCCGTCTCCTTGTTACTCTCTTCATAGGGGGGTATTTGGCGAGCGGGTTGGCAGCCGCAGTTTTCTTTATTGTAATTTTGGCTATTATCAGGAAGATGCTGCTGCCCATCTCCTGCCTGTTTCCTTTTGTCGCCTTTTACGACACCCACGGGAAGATATGGGTTAGTGGATATTCTTGACCGCCACTACACGGTAGTTTATTTACACTGATACTTATATGTAAACAATATCTCAGTGGTTTGTTCCTTAATGGTTTCACATTTTTTAAATCATTTTTTTTTTATTTTTCTACTTTTTGAAATATTTGTAGTTTGGTTTATTTATTTCTAATCAACTTAATATAAAATATAACTCATATTACAAAAAGTAAAATTAACCATTACATCTTTCTAACAAATTAACTCCCCCGCTATTTCACCTCGTTCCTCAGTGGCGCCGCCCTGGTGGCAGAAAAAGTCGTAGATGTGTATATGTATTATAAACCGAATTTGATGTCTTTAATAACATATTATACTTTAGAGGTGGTCCCATATAAATTTTACAAAAAATACCACCTCAAAGTGTGGATAAACGGGCGAAGAAGTTTTTAATCGAACTATTTGATGAGATTGAGATTTCCTTAGTCCAATTAAAAGTGTAAAAAACTTTTAATAAATATTAAAAGCCTACTTCAGAACAAAGATTTGTATGTATATTACCAGAATCTCAAATTATCTTACTGTTTTTAGTTCTTTGTAGTCGTCTTTTAATTTTTAAGACTTTTTTTCTCTTTTTATTTGTCACCGCATTGTATATTGATTTATATACTAAGTATTTATTGCTTTACACATGTTTACTTCTTGTTTGTCGTAGGCATACGCTAGGATAAATCACTTAATTAGCGGATCGTGTGGAGGTAGGTGGGAGCGGGAATTGGCGCACACATAGTTAATTAACCCAAGATAGATCCTGCGATAATTGCGTGCACCGAACATTATCTCGGGATATGAAACAATGCAAATTTACCTTTATCTCGCTATGTATTTTTTTTTATTTTCTAATTGAAAGGGCTCAATTGATAAATTTACCACGGCCTCCAGCATGAGCAGTAATTAAACGTGGCCCTTTGCCAATATGTGACAGCATTCCTCTTTCTTCTGTAGACTGCCAACAAGATGAGACATTTAAGGAGGAATTGACGTATGTTTCATCGAGGCAAACAATGTTCCTCTGATGTTTCCGCTGCTTCTTTATCACATTCAGATATCTCCATCGCCAAGATACTATATTTGGTTGTTAAATAAGAAGCTTCCTTTTCGACTGACATTTCTAAAATCTAAAGTAAAGTTTGTGCATCAATATTCTCCTTAAGCGCATTATAAAAATTACGCATAACATGATTAAACTTAATTTTTTTTAAGTAGTTTAAATACACACAAGTTTTCAGTAATAACTTTATAACTATATTTCCAATTTTTTGATATCTTTATGTCAAACTTCAATTAAAAAAAAGTCCAATTCCAACTCACAATGCCCAATGATAGGGAAAAAATTAAAAAAAAATGTAAATTGTAGTTCTATTCGTCAATGAGTTCCAGTAGCAGTAATCAAAATACACTTTCAAATTACTCCGTCAAGTCGAAGGTAAGGTCTCATCATAACTAATAAAACAGGGCTAAACTCGGCACATCTA